AGAGAGAGAGAGAGAGAGAGAGAGAGAGAGAGAGAGAGAGAGTGAGCATGGCCAGCCGGAGGGGAATGGGTGGAAGGAGCTGGGACAGAGCACCGGGGCACCGAGACAGGAGAAATGCAGGCAGCCCAGGAAAGAGGGTGATTACACACGCATGCAACACAAACACCTGCACCTGCACACAGCACACCAACCCACATGTACACACGCTCACACCCACGTCTAAGCATGTACACACATGTTTAGCACAAAGCACACACTCAAACACACACCACACATGTGCACACACAGACATGTATATACTCCATCGCACATTCACAGATGCGGGACAGGTGCACCATTGCATGCACGTGTGTGCATGCGAGTACATGCGCACATGCCTCCCCAGGCACACGTGCCCTTGTGTGCACGCGTGCACACACACATACGTGTGCATGCCCATTATGCCTCCATGCACAGGCTTCTCTGGAAGTAGAGGGAATCAGCCGTGCTTCTGACAGACTGATAGAGCCGAGCATGGCCACAGACTCACCGGATTTATCCACAAGGAGGTCACCATGACCTTGTGGGGAGCGGCTTCAGGGGCAAAGAGGGTGGAGAAAGCGGCTGGAAAGGAGAGGGTCCAGGGCGTGTAGACACTTCTAAGAAGTTTGACTGTGAAGAGATGAAAGAGGGTGGTGGTGGGAAAGGGGGCGTGAAGTTCAGGCAGGGCTCTGTTCATGTTAAGCCTTTTTTAAGGGATAGAGCTGGCTGAGGGCTGATGGGGAGGGGCAGTGTGGAGGGGGGATTTAAAAATATAAGAGAAGAGAGCTGGGTGTAGCCATCCCTGTGGAAACAGGAGGAAGGACTGGCTTGGGCAGGAGGGTCAGTGCTCCTTTCACTGTGGCAGGAGGACGGAGGACCGAGTGGCTGCAGTTACACGCAGATTAGTGGCTTGGTAGCTGGACGTGAAGTCACACCTGCCTGATGCACACCTCTCTGTGCAGCAGGAGGTGCTCAGCCGATGGGGGTGTGTGTGGAGACGATGACCAGTTGGATCCATCCATGGCTGGGGGTTTTGGCCAGGTGTGTGGGACAGGAGGGCAAGGAACAAGGGAACTGAGGGTACTGGCAAGAGAATGGCTGCCTCGCGGAGGCTGGGGGTCGGCTGGGAAGGGAAGAGGGTGCAGACAGGAGGGGCTGGTCTCCGGGGGGATGTTGGAGAGTGGGCACAGTGGTGGCGAGTAGCCAGGAGGAGAGGTGTGGTCAGGAGGGAGAATCACAGTGAGCCGAGCTGGGAGTCCTGGGGCCAGGGTGTGGCCATGGGAGGAGGCCACTGGGCCACTGTTCGGAAGCTGAATTGAAGTGGGGCCTGGGTCAGAGAGAGGCCTGAGGGGGGTTGAGGATACCGTGGGTGGATGACAGAGGGAGGTGGGGAAAGGGGTCCAGCGGATGACAGAGAGAGCAGTGTGCTGGGCTGGCTATATCCAAGCGTGGAGGGCAGGCCCAGAGGCAGTGCTCGGCAGTCATCTTACTTGACTCCTGGGGCCCTGGGCCATGAAGCTGGAGCCCCTTCTCTCCATGCATTGTCCTCAGGCAGAGCCAGGGATCAGCGACTGGGGTGACTGGCCATTCAGTGAGGATGCTGTGGCCCTCACGAGGGGTACCCTGGGTCCTGGGGTGGAGAAGATCTGCCCCCTCTAGAGGACATTGGCTGCGGTCAGGTGTGCTGAGCGGGACCCTAGGAGAGGTCCTGGGAAAGGCCAGAGAGATCCGAAGTCCCTCCAGTCCACACCAGGCCCCCCAGGAGCACCTCCTAGTGGGTGACCCGCTGGCTCTGGAGCCCCGGCACCTCCCCCTCGGGTCTGCAGTTGCCTGACCCTCCCAGAGCCCCCAGCTCTAATCTACCTGTCCCAGGCTGGTCATGGTTGGTGGGTCTGCCCTGGCCTCCCCTGACTCTCCCGCGTGTTCTGCAGGATGACGGACCGCTGGAGCCTTTCTGCAGCACGTGCCTGAGCCTTGTGCATCCCCACTCTGCCTCGCTCACAGACACACCCAGCGCAGCACCTGCCGGGCCCCCGCTCCGCACACAGGCTGGACCCAGTCTCCCACACCCACCCCTTCCTGCAGCTCATCCGCAGCCAGACACATGCAGACACCACACCCACACACACCACACAGCTGCACATCATCCTCCAAACGTCCCACTCTCTCCCCACACCCAACACCGCCATCGCTCCGTGAGTCCTGCAGACTCGATGAAGGGTCTGACCTGCCCTGGCACTCATGTGCGTGTTCCCTGCCCCGTGGACACACCTACATACACGAGTCACATGCAAACAGCCCTCCTTGGCCTATGCCGCCGAGAGCTCTTGGCCCAGCCAGAAATGGCCAGAGCAGCTTGCTGTCTGACTGTCTGCCCGTCCGTCTGTCCCTTGCGGAAGACACAGAGTTACCTCCATCCTCTCTGCGGCCAGGTGCCTGCATCCTCTGGAATTCACAAAAGCTGGCTTTTGTTCCTTTCCCTCCATTTGGGGACAGGAACCTTCAGGACTGCTGCCCTGGCCCGCCCACCCGGCTCCCCACCACTGGGGCCGTCACTCACCGCCAGGCCCTGGCCGGCTGCAGGCGCGTCTTTGATGGACCAGCCCCCCTGAGGCCAGAGGGAAGGTCTGGGGCCGCTAGGGCCCTTGGGCTGGAACTAGGCGGAGGCCACGGGGCTGGGCACAGCAAGAGCGAAGGGCCCAGCTGCACCGATGAGAGAACTTTTTTATTCTTTGGGCCTGAGGGGAGTTCTGGGTGCCTTTGGTTTTTTTTATTCTTTTTTAAGGAAAAAAAAATGATAAAATCTTCAAAGCAGATTTTTCTTGTTACAGAAAAACTAATATAAAAGCATTACCCCAGTCTGGCAGCCTGTGGCCGTGTCTATGTGTGCTTCCTGCCAGGTGCTGGGCTCATGCCTGGCCGGGTGGGCAGGATCCAAGCACCTCAGCACCTCTGGACCGGCAGGAGTCAGTGCAGGGTCCAGTTCTTGGGGCCCACCAAGCAATCACACAGGCAGAGGTCCAGGGACGCGGGGCTTAGTGGCAGGTAAGGCGGCCTGGAGGCAGGTGCAGCGCCTCAGCGGGCTGGAGGTCAGCAGGTTGGGACCACCACACTCGGCCGTGAGCTCACTCTGCACTCCCAGGGTCTGAGCATCCAAGCAAAGGGCTTGCCGGCTTCAGATTGCGCAGGGCTCCTGTGCACTGAGTGGGCATTCCTGATGGCTCTGTCCCATAGAGGATGCTGGAGTGGGAAAGGGGCTGGAGGCAGGCCTGGGAGCTGGGGCTCTGGTCTCTGCAGACCTGCCCAGGGAAGAGGCTGCAGACATGCCCAGTGCACCACCACCGCCAGCAGGGCCAGAGCTGGATCAGAAGGCAGTACCCGGCTTAGAGCAAAGAAGAACCCCTGACGGGCAGAGCTGCCCCACAGTGGATGAGATGCCCAGCAAGTAGTGGCCCCTCACTACTGCAGGTGTGTAAGTATGCTCCTGTCAAGCCCAGTAAAGAGCAGGTTCCTGCCTTGTGTGGAGCGGATACCATTGCTCGAAGGGCCTTAGAGATGTGACACAGGGAAGGGGCCGATAAGCCAGGCCACACCATGTGGGGAGTTAGGATAGCTTGACATCTGACCTCTCCTAGGTGACTGGGCCTTACGGAAGGAAAGATGCTCCCATGGTGGATACTACAGCCCTCTGCCCTGCAGTGGGAGGGGGAGCCGGGGGCCCTTCCTGGGCTCCTCAGACTATGGCCCTGGGAGGAGGATGGAAGTAGTTCAGGAGTGGGGGCTGGGAGGCAGGTACCCTCCTGATTCTCCGAGTGACCCTGGAAGGCCCCTCCCCTCCCCCAGCTTCAGTGTCTCCAGGGCTCCACAGTGCAAGACCCTGGGGCTTCATCTTCTCCCCAGAGTACGTCCAGAGCAGGCTGTGTGGCCAGGGCTCTTCTGTGTCCCCTGCGAGCCTCCTGTAGGCACCACGGGGCTGAGGAGAACGACAAAGGGAGAGTCCGGAAACTTCTTGGGCACATCCCCTCCTTAAAGCAAAGCATTCACTGAAAGGAGCCAGGCTGGCTGAGGAAATGTGTTTCTTTTGTGAGGACCGGCCTCAGGGCCCTGCCTGCAGAGCAGAGCCCAGGCTGCGGGCAGAGTGGTCTGTCCACACTGTGGCTGTCCAGACAGGCCCCTGGGCAGCCTGGTTTGCACTCTACCTCCTGCATGTGACGGCTCAGGCAGGCCTGTCCCCACTCCAGCCACCAGGATGGGCTCATTTGCACGCTGGCGGCCCAGGCAGGCCTGTCCACACGCTGACAGCCCAGGCAGAGCTGTCTACACTTCAGCTACACGGACAAGGCTGTTGACATTCTAGCTTCCTGGACAGCCTTGTCTGTCCTCTGGCTGCCCAGACAGGCCAGTCTGCTCTTTGCCTGTATTAGCCCAATAAAGAAATGCTTGCCAGAGTATGGTCGCTAGGCCCACAAGATTGAAAAAGAAAATACCTTTATTTAGTCATCACTGAATTTGCAAACACAGAAGGGAATAGAAAATCTAACTCCCCTTCATCACACGGGCTTTGGGGGAGCGCTGACCCCAGGGCCACATGGGTAGCTTGACTAAAGCATCCCAGGTGAGTCTTCCTCCCCAGTCCCGGCCAGCCCACCTGTTCAGTGGGAGGCTAGCCCTGGTGTTTCTAAGGGCCCTGTGGCTCTGATGAAGACATCCTCGTCTCCACATTGGGTGAGCTTTGTGAGAGATAACTGGTAGGACAGGAGACAGGATGGGCCCCCATACACACAGGTCATGTGGCACATGGAAGGCAGCGGTCTTGGCCTTAGGCTGGGCCCATCCTTGGGGAGAGCAGTTTGTTTGAGGCCACGTGTTACGGGGCAGGGTGGGGGCTGGCCTGGGCTGGGACACAGCTGGGGCAGAACCAGGACATTGCTATGTCTTCATAAATTGAAAGCAGTGGTGGCTTTGGGGCTCCTGGGAAGGGGTGGAGCCTCTCTCTTGGCATCTGGCCTTGCAGGCAACCCTATTCTCCGGGAGGGAGGGGCCGAGGCTTGAAAGCCTTGAACTAGAGTCCTGGCCCTGACATTATTTGCTCTGAGACCTGGGGCAACTGTTTTCAGCTCTCAGAGCCTCAACTCTGTGTTCCAGAAAGTGGGGACCGTACCCCTGCCTGCCGCCCTCACAGGTCAACACGATGGAAGTGTTACAGTCGGGGCTTGGGCTACGCCTGCCTGTAACTCTCCAGCCGGGGCTCCCACATTCAGTCTTTCCCCTTTCTGAGACTCCACTTTCCGTCAAGTGGATCTCATTCCGGACTCTCAAGGTGGGGGAAGGTAGTGTGAGCCTGGTCCTGTGCTCAGGAAAGTCGTGATTTGAGATTCTGCCCTCGGCCCCTGATCACGGAGGGCTCCCCTAGCCCCTACAGCTCCGCAGGCTCAGACGTTGGTCTCAAGCTCACTGATCTCAATGGTGCAGTGGTCCAGGCTGGCGGCAGCCGGCTCCTCATCCTGCTCTACCTGGATGGGGACGTGGTGGGGACAGGTGGGGCCCAGGGTCAGCTCTGAGGCCTCAGCCACGCTCTTCACACAGCCATTCTGCTGGGTCGCCACGATCTCCTGGAGGCTCACTGGGCTGGTCTCGCAGGGTGGCAGTTTCTGGAGAGGGGAAACAGGTCTTGGCAGCAGCAGGCGAGACTGGGGTTAGGCAGTAGGGAGGACTGAAGGAGCAAAGGGCTGGGAACAACCCGACTGGTTTTCCTACAGACGTGCTGGGGGATCTTGATAGGTCACAGGGACTCTCTGGGCTCCAGTTCCTGCCTTCTCCTGGGACTGTCTTAGTAGAGGAGGGCACCTGGCCCACGGGGTCCAGTGCGGGAATGGGCGGCTCCCCTGCCTGGCCTCAGCGTCCTTCCCATGGAGTGGGGCAGCCTGCTACACGTGGTTACTGATGAAGCCCCAGCAGACGTGTGAACGCTGGCATTGCTGTGGGCACTGCTCCCTGAGGGCATTGACTGTGTTCACCACTGCTGCTCCTGTGTCTGGATCAGCGCTGGCCACAGTGGGTGCTCAGCAATTTGCTGTTAGAGGAATCTGTCACCGGGTGCCCACGATGAGAACAAGGCATGGAGGGATCAGGCGAGGGCTGCCCAGCTGGTGGGTGGCCGATGAGCTGCCTTGCCCACCCCACCTGGCTCCACCCCCGGGTCTTTGGGCAGCCCGGCTGGGAGGGAGGCACCGTTCTCACCTCAGTGCCCGTGTCCTGAGTGAAGTCCTTCCGGCAGACATGAGCCATGATCCCGGCGGCCAGTGCATCACCCAGCACGTTAATCATGGTGCGGAAACGGTCCCTGGTGGGCCAAGGTGGGCAGTGAGCGGCAGGCCCTCTGCTGTAAGGGGAGCTGGAAGAGGACAGTGCTCACCCCAGCAGCACCCACAGGATGGGCGCCTTCCTGGTCCTCCCAGCCCACCACCCCCTGGTGATGCTGAAGTGGGTGGTGCAGGGCCGGCTTTGTAGGCATATGTGACTGTGCAGTGGCTCAGGGCCAGTGTGCAGAAGGGCCCGGACTTGGGCTAATGCTCTGCTCCCACCCTCTTGAAATTCTTTATAACTTTCGAACAAGGGATCCCACATTTTCATTTTTGAAAACTGGGCCCCGCAAAGAATGCAGCTGGGCTGGTGTCAGCGAGTACCCACTGTGCCAAACCACGGCATTTCCCCAGCCCACCCCGAGTGCCTACCACCCAAGGGATAGGGGTGGGTGGGGCGAACCCCACTTACAGAGCCCAGTCGACAGCGATGATGAGGGTGATGTCATCAGTGGGAAGTCCCACGGAGGTGAGCACGATAACCATGGTGACGAGCCCGGCCTGGGGGATGCCAGCTGCCCCGATGCTGGCTGCGGTGGCTGTGATGCTGCAGGAGGGGCAGGGAGCATTGCTGGGCCCTGGACCCAAGGAGGAGGCCAAACTCCCAGGGCCTCTGGGGACAGCATGTGGAGCAGGAATTGTTAGGAATGCCACATCAGGGAGTTCCCTGGGTGGGAGGCATGTCTCTGCTTAAGGTCCTGTGGTCCCAGAGGCCCCCATCCCTGGCCTCAGCAGAACCTCCTGAGAAGTTTGTGGAAAACCCTGTGTCTGGAGCCACTGTCTCTGTAGGTTTCCAGCAAACTGCCCACAGATTCTGATTGTCCACTGGCACAGCTCTGCCCAGCCTCCCTCTAGGACTGGGTCCCCAGGGTCAGACTTGTGCCCTCGGGGTGGCATGTGAGGCTTTCCCCTTGGCCTCTGCCCCTCACCCTAGCACCCTTCCCTCAGCTCTAGCCACACCAGCAACTCTTCCACCATCCCTCAATCCTGCCCCTGGCCCCTGCTTGCCCTGTGCCTGCCTGCATCACCCTCCCCTGCTCTGCATGTCCAGACTGCAGGCCCCTCCTCTGGCCCCAAGCTTCCCAGCCTGCTCAGAGCTCCCCCTCTGCAGGGCAGCGCTGGGGAAGGAGGCTGGTGCCCTGAGTCACGAGGCCAGGTCACGTTTCAGCCCCAGCACTGGCTTGCTGTGTGGCCTGGAGTGAGCCCCTTGCCCTCTCTGGGCCTCAGAGACTCCATGAGATCTGGGAGCTCAAGACTCCTGAAGGCCATTCCAGAGTACCCCCCGCCCCAATCCACACTGGGTGCAGGGTGCCGGGAGTGCACCTGATGGTGATGACCTGGCCGAAGTCCAGATCATAGTTGTTGACCTGGGCAATGAAGATGGCGGCCACAGCCTCGTAGAGTGCGGTGCCATCCATGTTGATGGTGGCGCCCACGGGCAGCACGAAACGGGCAATGCGCCGGTCGATGTGGTTGTTCTCCAGCAGGCACTTGAAGGTGATTGGCAGTGTGGCTGAGCTGTGGGCAGAGGGGCAGCGTCTGCTCATCACCCTCCTCCAGGATGGGCAGGGCCCCCAGGTTGTCCGCTGACCAGTGACGGAAGCTCTCCCCGCCCCCCCACGCCAGGCAGTTGGCCCATCTGGGGTAGGGGGAGAACAGGCTGAAGGGGCTTTGAAAATGGTCACATGGCCAGACTTGCCCAGGCCCAGGGCCTCAGAGACCCCCATACACACGGGTCAGGAAGGGAGTTACCACCAGCCGAGCTCCTACTATGCGCCGGGCACTGTGCTTTATACATCCTCATGGCTTCCTGGGAGGGAGGGGTTTTAAGTCCCTTTTACAGGTGAAAAAACTGAAGCCCAGAGGGGAGGAGGGGCTGACCCTGTGTCACACGACTATGCCAAGTGCGGATGAAGAGGTCAGTCAAAAGCAGGGCTCTGGCGGGACCGCTGGCTTCAGATTCCGGCCTCCCACTAGCCCAGTGTCCCTGGCACCTCCTTAACCTGCATGTGCCGTAGTTTCCTTGTCCCAAGCAGTCCATACATTACAGAGCTATTAGGATTAACGAGTGGGCCCTCAGGACAGCGTCTGCATACTGTAGGCGCTCAACCAGTGGTAGCCACTGCTCACGTTGCAGCTGTGTTGTTACTGAGCTCCCAGTGGCAGTGTTGGGACTGAAACTCAGGTTAGCGTGGCCCCAGAGCCCTTCCTCTACCACAGGCCATTGCCTGGGAAGCCCACTGGCACCTGCCAGAGCCCCTCATGGGCCCCAGGCATGCTGGGCCCGAGGCCGTGGTTCCTGCCAACAGGAAATGGCAAGGGCTGCTGGCTCTGTCACGGGGGCCAGCAGGTGCTTGGGGCTTCGTCTTTCCCTCTCACCTCCTCCCTCGGCCCTGGGTGAGGGTTCCTGGAGAAGGCTTCTAGGGCTTCTCCTCACTGGGCTTCTGCTCCTCCTGAGTCCTGTATGAGGTGCTTCTGCTGCCAAGGGTGGGCCATGTGGCTGCCAGGGAAGGAGGTCTGTGGTGGCCCTCATTCCCATTTTACAGATTGGGAAGCTGAGGCCCAGGGAAGAGAAGGCAGTAAGGGATGCAGGGAAGAGCCAGGCCTTTGGTGCCAGAGACATGGGCTCAAGTTCGGGTGACTTCTTCCATGCGGAGCTTGGACATTTGCTGTGGGGAGAACCACCCTTTCTTCACAGGGTTAGATGCCCAGTAAGTGACCACCTCCTTTCCCCCACCCCACCCCTTGCTCAATAGCCAAGTTTGCATGACACTACCTCCCTGGGTCTCCTGCACTCGCTTTGGTCTGGGATCTTTGAGGGCAGGTGCTGCTTCATCAAGCCCAGACCGGCCTTAGTGGGTTATCTCCATTAATCGCACAGTAACCCTATGTGGCAGAGGCTACAATGATCCTCAGTCTGTATCCGAGGAAACTGACAGGGAGGTCACCAGGGAGGTCAGGTGACCGGCCCACAGCCACACAGCTAGTGGGTGATGGAACCATGAGGCAAGTTCCTACTCTCTGGAGACACCGCCAAGGTTGTGACGGGGCAACTTGCCAGGCTGTCCCAGTGACAGTAGACAGGCAAGGTCCCTAAACAGCACAGGGTCTGACTTCCACAGAAGCACCACGTGGCAGCGCAAGGCAACAGCGATAGCGATTGCAGACTCAGCACTCTCCAGCTCTCCCTGCCCCTGTTACGTGGAAGCCGAGCCCCATGTGGACTGAGTGAACCCAGGGTATGTGGGCAGGTGGGGGAGGGCTTTCTGCCATTTGGGCAGGTAGTGCCTCAAGCATTACATTTTAAGAATACGTCTTGTTACCGGAGCGTCTCCCAAGTTTGTGAAGCAGGTCACGCTGACACTTTCCGTGGTTCTATGGCTACGGACAAATGATGGCTGGACAGAAGGACAGCATTCAGCCATGGTCTCCTCCCCCATCCTGCCCGCTGCCCAGGGCTACCTGGAGGAGGTGGCCAGCGCAATGAGCAGGGCCTGGAGAATGCCGCGGATGAAGACGATGGGGTTCTTTTTGGTGATGAAGAAGTAGAGCAGGGGCAGGATGAAGAGGCCGTGCACCA